TTCTGAGACTGAGTCTGAATCTGACTCTGATTCAAATTGCAAAGTAATGAAGTCGGTAGAAAAAGTTAACAACCTCTCTAAGGGTTTTCTGCAGAAGACGGACCAGCTGAAGAAGATGACTCCAGTTCAGACATTGAAGCCAGTTAATTTTAAAGGAAAATCTTCTTCAACTGATTCAGAAACAGATTCAGAGGAGGCATCGACACCTTTAGTAAAGAAAGCAATCAATGTAGCAAGTCCAGCTGTATGTATTTCTAAAACTGTTGTCGGTCGCAAACAGCCAATTCCTCCAAAAGAAAGTTCTTCCGAGGCTGAGTCTGATTCTGACTCTGATTCAAATTGCAAAGTAATCAAGTCATTAGAAAAAGTTAACCTCTCAAATTGCTTGCTACAGAAGCCGGACCAGTTGAAGAAGATGACCCCAGTTCAGCTATCTAAGTCAGTTGGTTTAAAGAAAAAATCGTCTTCATCTGATTCGGAATCTGATTCAGAGGATCCATCGAGACCATTCAAGAAATCAATCAATGTTACAAGTCCAGCTTTATGTATTTCTAAAGGTGTTGTCGGTCGCAAACAGACAATCCCTTCACAAGAAAGTTCTTCTGATACTGAGTCTAACTCTGATACAGATTGCAAATCGAAGAAGCCAGTAGTGAAAGTTCCAACACAGTCGTTGAATCACTCATCCTACGCGAAAAAAAATTTGTCTAAGCAACTGAACCAGATAGATAGTCCCACGGAATCTCAATCTTCTGATTCACAGGAGGTAAATAAAGTTTCAGGCCAGAAATCAACTGATTTGGCCTGTCCAGTTGTACATAGTTCTAAAACTACTCCATTGTATTCGCAACACAGGGACATTTTCCCGCCCTTGGAACTTTCTGATTCAGTTGACACAAAAAGACGTTTAGATAAGAAGCTCTTCAAATCATTTGGTCCTGCTGCGAGTGGTTACAAAGAGGATATGTCTTCCAAACAACATCTGCTTCATCAAGATACTTATGATATCAAGTCTGGTTGTGCTTCAGGTTCCAAAGCTACGAAGCCGGTTGATAAAGTGAAGTCATCTTCAAATCCGTTTCTACAGTCCAATTCTCATGTGAATCTGGCGATGCCA